CCAGCCTCAGGTGTGTGTGCCAGCCATCTCCTGCCTGAGGTGGGCATCTCCCAGCCTCAGGTGTGTGTGCCAGACACATCCCCTGCCTGAGGGGGCATCTCCCACCTGGGCAGCCTCAGGTGTGTGTGCCAGACACATCTCCTGCCTGAGGTGGGCATCTCCCAGCCTCAGGTGTGTGTGCCAGACACCTCCCCTGCCTGAGGGGGCATCTCCCAGCCTCAGGTGTGTGTGCCAGACACATCCCCTGCCTGAGGTGGGCATTTCCCAGCCTCAGGTGTGTGTGCCAGCCATCTCCTGCCTGAGGTGGGCATTTCTCAGCCTCAGGTGTGTGTGCCAGCCATCTCCTGCCTGAGGTGGGCATCTCCCACCTGGGCAGCCTCAGCTGTGTGCCAGACACATCCCCTGCAGCACCAGGACAGGAGGAGTGTGTGGGACTCAGTGCAAGGGAGATGCAGAGCTGCAACACACCCACACTGAGCACAGGGGAACAGGGAGCAGGGGAAGCTGGAAAAAGAACTCCCATGGGTTTTTTTGGCTTTTGTCCTTATTTTTATGTCCTGAGTTCTCTGAGGTTTTGTAGGGTTTTTTTTTATTGGTTTGGGTTTTTTTGGTTTTGTTTTGGTTTTTGCATCACAGATTAAACCCAGAAGTCTTCTCCTGTCTCTCACTTTCAGTTCCCACCTATGTCTTCTCAAAATTTCCCTGATCTGCCATTCCTTCCAGAAGTTTTGTAGCATCTTTTGTGTGCAAACACACTCATCAGACAAGACTGGAGGAAGCAATCACCAGAGGCTTCTCACTGCAGAGAAGCAATTTTGTGCTCTCGCAGCAAGGCCCTGTGCAACAGACTGCTGGCAAATGAGAACTTACCCTGGCAGAATGCTGCTCTTCCACTTGCTTCCCAAAATGAATGTCCATTTCCAGAAACCAGAGGTGGTAAAGCTGGGATGTGTTTACACCTGGAATGGAAAAGCTGTGTTTAAAATGAAGGCATAAGAAGAGCAGTGATGAAAGAGTGTTTCTTTTGGGTTGCGTTCCCTTGCAGCACTGTCTGAGCACAGAGCCACTCTCATCCCTGTCCTGAAACAGGAGCAAAGAATAGGAAAGGAAATGGAAGTGTGCTGTGCTCAGTAGTAAAGTGAATGTGGGAGAGGGCACTTATCTGGAAACCAGAGCTCCTTCCTGGCCTCCAGACTATTCACTTGTATAAATGTATCAGCAAACCCATCAAACCATCCCTGGCTGGTTTCTTCCAAATGATGTTTCCAAAAGAAGGCTCCTTCTTTTGCAGTCATGCTTACTGGAGCTTGGTGCAAGGCTCCAGGCTCTGTGTGCTTCCTACATGAAGTAGCTAAGAAGAGTTTTCAGTCGTTTTCTGATTTTTAGTCTCCTGAGCTGCTGGATGGAGTTCAGCCCTGAGCATTATTCACTCTGTGCAGTCTGGTTTCCTTTTACACAATCCACTCGAAGGGAAGACTACCAAACAGAGCAGCATTTCTCCTTCAGCCCTGGCAGATGGAGCCTCCTAGGTCAGATTCTTGTGTGCATAGTTATGGCCTGACACACACTGAGCCTCCAGTGAACATCATCTGCTTTGTACTGCGTGAACAGCATGGTCTGAGTCAACCTCATACTCGGGGACACCCAGGGGCAAGAGAAGGGAGAGGGTGGGAGTGCACACGTGGGGTGTGAGGAGGCCACCTCTATTGGAAGCAGCTTGCACTTAAATGGGATTAAGCAGTTTCCTGAATTGACACCCTTGGTTAGATGGGATTTAGCTTCCAGGCCACTCTTAGTCATCAGTTTTCAGCGTCCCTCCCAGAGGCTGCTCCACAAAGCCTGTGCCACAGCACACCTTCATTTCCAGCCCTTCTGCCCCCCTGTCTGGGCTAGGAGCTGATGGAAGGGTTTCTGCACGTCAGGCCCACTAATTCTTACCAGTCAGGGCAGCCAAAGCTGTGAAGACCCCTCCAGTGCCCCTGTCAGACTCAGAAACCAAGAGAAGCCTCGGCCCTGGGCTCTGTCCATGTCAGAGCCCAGCAGCTGTGCTGCTGTGACAGGAGTGACCAGCCCAGAGGACATTGCTGCTGCCCATCAGTCAGCATCAGCCCAGCTCCAGACAAACATGCTCAGCATCTCCAGAGCAAGCTGATTATATCCTGGGCAGCACTAAAAGCCACAGGCAGGTGAATTAACAGAGAACAAAAACTAGCTCCAGCCTGTGTGGCTTGCCAAACTGCAGCTGGTTTCATGACCTCAGCTAAGTTCTAACATGACAGCAGTTCCCAGTACAACACAAGACTTAGAAAAAGCCCCAAAGCTGGCACGGTGGGCATGGCAGCTCCTGCTGTCTCAGAGGATGAGCTAATCAAATTACACAAGAGGGAGAGGGTGGCAGTGCTCAACTTTCACCTTTTCTGAACTGTTGCAATTTTTCCAGGAAGGGTGTTGGTTCTTTCAAGAAATTCACTCATCTCCTGTAGATTCACATAGTGAAAGGTACTTTTAAGTAGCTTGCAGGTACTTTTAAGAAGCAGCCGTGGGCCACACGTGTGGTTCTCAGCTCCAAGTCTGTTGGACAGCCTTGCTTCTCCTTTTCTTTACATCTGTGGCCAGGCATGGTAGCACTGTCCCAGTCCAGCAGAACTTGTGAGCATGGCCAGAGCTTTACCCAGCTGCTCTGGCTGCAATTCTGTCACTGGGCAAGGGAACCTAAAATTGACATCACTCTGGTCCTCTCCTTGCCCCAGCACTGGCTGCATGCTCCTGCCTCCCTTCCTTACATCAATGGTGATATTTTTCTGACCTCTGGAGCTGAGTGGAGCTCCAGCTGCCAATTGGACAGAAAACTAACCCACAAGGAAAAAGGAATATGTTTCTGCTGGTTTAAACCATATCCATAAACCCTGAATGGATCTGAATCCTCTGTAAGACAGTTTTGAATGGTAAGTTACTGTAAACTTAAGCTCCTCTTATCATTCTGCAATATGTCAGATATGTTTCACAACCACAGTAAAGTTTTTGAAAACATGAGTGTATCTCAAGACCTTGTTCTTCAGGAAGTCTTTCTTTCTTAACTCATAAAAAAACCCCAAACCAACAATCTCTTCTTTCTTTCTTAACTCAGGGGAAAAACCCAAATCTGCTCCAAGGAATTTCTTTTTTGAAGCATTTTCAGGAAACAAAAACTTGCAAGATTATTACCCACCTTCCCAAACAATGAAAAAAAAAAAAAAAAACCAAAAAGAAAAAGGGAAAACAAAACAAAAAAGAGAGAGAAGAAAATTTCAGTTGAAGAAGCGAAAATCTTGGATAATTTCTCATAGTCTTTTTCTGGAATCCAATAAACACATTACCAAATTACACTGTATATTTTACTAGGCCAACTTATCTCTGTGTGTATTAGAGGCACAGCAAGAAGAAAAACAACAAAAAAAAATTAACCTCCTTTGTATAACTCAGTAGAGTTATAAAAGATCTAATTGAATAAACTACATTTGACAAGAACAAATGGTGACATTTCCATTTAATGTTGTCTTTTTGGCTTCCTGACAAAGAAAAGCTTAAGGAACCATGAGTTTTGTTTCCTAAGGGCAAGTTCTTCTTCTTGTATCAACTCAGCAATCAATAATAAAGTATAAGCATAAGCAGTTTTAATTTATGAACTGTATTCTTTGAGTGAATTTAATGGTTTCATCTTACGCACGTTGCTGTGTGTTTATTTTTGTTGTACTGCACAGAACTGCTTAAGGGAAAATACTGCATTAAAGCAGTAAAGCAGCCATATATGTAGGAAAGCAGAAAAGGAATAATTGAGAGACAGTGAAATTAACACTGTGCTGATTTCTTGTAAGCAGAAGAGCGCCATTGCATTGAGGGGGAGCAAAACCCCGAACAGGGAGCTTGCACTGGTGTCATCTCTCAGCAAAAGAGCACCAGATGACCAGGCTTCCTCTTCCCTGACACTCCTTTGTCACTCCTCTTTTTCCCTCAGAGAGCAGAGCTCAGCCCTCCTGGATTTTGGTGCTGGCTTAGGGGCAGTTCTGTAGGCAGTTCCCAGTTTTGCCATGTGCCTTGTCCAGCAGGTCCCTCCAAACCAGGTCCCAGTGGAGCTGGAGTCAGCCAGGAGGGGCTACGTGTGCTGCTTTGGACTGACCTAGAAAGGGCTCACCAACAATAACACTTGCCCATAAAAACATCACTCCCATTTGTCTCTGGGAGTAAGGAGTGGACTTTATGAGCCTGGTTGTGCAGTGAATCACTGCTGTCCATTACTCACTGCTGAAATTGGACGTGACCTGCGCCTGGTGTTAGGGAGAGGGTGGCTCTTCCCACCCAGCTTTTCCCATTCCGACCTGATAAGGATTTCCACAGTGTGTATTTCTCCTGTCAGAAGCATGCTCTTTCACTATGGACTATTGATGTTAGCACAGATGGGCTTCTGGTTGCCATGCAGGTGATAATGTTCCAGTGAGTTTCAGTTAATATTAAATGGAAAGTGACTCAATCTGCATGTCTCTCTAGAAACAACAAAGCAACCATCTTGAGGATCAATACTGATAATACTCTGAATTTGAAGCAAAAAAATAAATACAGCAACAACAAACACATATGGTGACTCCAAACTGCAGTATCATGCAACAGGAAAAGCAGGACATTTAAAAGAGAGATAATTTCTCAAAACTGTATACTAATTAAGACCATGCATTATCTATCAGATTTCAGATCATCTATACACAGCAAAAGCTTTACCTGCCAAATCCATATGCTGGTGTAGGTGAGCACCACGGGCAGGAGCAACACACAGAAAGAAGAGGCAGACCCAGGCCAGCTGCAGGGTAGATCATGGATGTCCCAGGAGCATTCAGGGGCTGGAAAGAGCCCTCTCACCCCTCTTTGGCAGGGGAACACAGGGCTGAGGCAAGCCAACATCTGCATTATTGGATGTGGGATTTTTGTTCTTCTTGGCCTATGAAAATGAGATGAGACAAAGCAGCAGGCAAGGAGGATTAGTTTTGTAATTCTATCTCAACCCACATCACATACAACAAAGAAAAGAGATACTTGCTCACCAAGCTGCTTCAAGCAAGGATAAAGTGCTCATGACCATGTGTGGGCTCAAGTAGCTTACACGGAACTTACCTTTCTCAGAGAAGTTTAACTTCTTAACATGATTATGCAGTCAGTAATTAACGGAAAACTGCATTATCTGGTATTTCCACAGCAGCCAAACTCATAGCCTGCTCTGTTTTATTAGTGCCAGATTTCTTACTTCTAATTTATGGAGGAAAGCCTTTCAGGAAAGTCTAGAATTATGGTCCCTTCCAGCCCAGAGTGGCCTGGGTTGGAAGGGACCCTAAAGACCATCCAAGTTCCAACCCCTCTGGGTTTTTACACTTTTTACTAGCCCGGGTTGCTCAAAGAATATGGAGAGTATATTTCTTAGCTCACTTTATATCACTAGTAGCCTGACTTCTGCTAAGTATTTACCTAAAATAGATTTAATCAACTCATCAAAACAGAGGATTATTTGAATCAAGACAGTTGGTGTGTCTCATAGACAAGCAGCATTCTCTTTTATTTAAACATGAGTGTGTGTAAGACGTTGTTTTTTTTTTTTAAATGCTGTGTTCTAAACAAATTTCAAGCAAGCAAAACCTACAGGAGACAGAAAAAACACCCTGTGGCTTGTTTCGATCTGAACCAAAAGAAATGCATTTTGGCCTGAGTTTGTCAATGTGCTTATCCCCCAACAATGGAAAGTCCACGTTTCATCCTAAGCTGCTCAGTGGAGGACAGCACTGAGATTGTGGACACAGGTGAAAGACAAAACATGCAAAACCACTGAACAACTGGCAGTGCTGGGGCAAACCCTGGTGCAAACCACCAGCCTTCAGGGCTGGTGCTGAGCCATGACTATTCCACCAGCCTGGATGGGCTCCTGAGGCTGGAGGCAGGCAGCCCACTCATTTCCTGATGAGCAGGGCAGCATCTTCATCATCCCCATGCAAACACAAGAGAGGGATGTCACAAACTAACCTGGAATGCAGAAACAATTTGTGCATCACTTAGCAGAGGGAAGGAAAGCAGTACATGAGTGATTGCAGTCCTCAAGGAAGGGAAAACAGAGAACAACTTTGTGAAAGCTTAAGTAAAACACAACTGAGAGTGTTTGCGTGTTCCCTGCTCTGCAGCCTCCGCTCTCCAGCCGGCTTACGCAGGCTCACCCTCACCACGGCACAGAGACAGGAAAAATCATCAGCTCAGCTCAATATGCCATGATTTAATACCCTAGAAATCAACTTAATTGTTAGTATTTTCTTTATAGTTTGCAGTTTCAGTTGGACCCAGCTCACTTTTTCAAAAAGATCATCACAGTTTTACCTTTTCTAGTAACTGCAAAGTTATTATGGATGCAAATGATCACATTAGAGTGTTGCCACGGAAATAAACTGCAGTGTTATAAGCACAAAATAAAGAGCCTGCTGCAAAAGAAGATGTGGCAGCCACAGCTTCAGGGAAGTGCTTTTTTGGTAGCAAATGATGAACCAATTGCTCCAAACCTCTTGAGCTACAGGAGGAAACACAGCAGCCCCATTTTGCAACTTTACAGGACTGTGCATAATGCCTCAAGTCATTTTAGAAACAGAGTGCCACCTACCTCATGGCTTGAGGTTAGTTTTGTCATACCAGGAACTCATGTGGGACCTTCTGAAGGGTTCTTGCACTACAGCCTGTTCCTCCCATGCTGAAACACAATCCCAGCAGCACAGGTGCCAATAAAAACAAGCCTCTTTTGCAGTGATAATGTCATTGGTGAGCATGACTAAGGCACCTTAAGCAGACCCAGCCTTTCAGGATTTCCCCTTAGGCAGGAAGATTTCTCCACGGGCATGTCCTTTGAGCCTGTAGCCATGTGACATCACAGAAATGTATAAGGGGGCCAGAGTCTGATGGGATTTAGGGACCCATTATAAAGGATGAAAGGAAAAACTCTTTAAGATCAGCTCTGCTTAGTTACTCTTGCATGGTGAAGGCAAAAAACACATGGACAAAAGAACCTCACCATCAACTAAAGCTGGATTTTGAGAAGAGCCATCTCCTGATGTTGCTCAGAGGACCCAACAGAGCACTGGGAACACCAAGCCCCCCAGACAGGCTGAGTGTGGAGGCTGCTGTGGGGGCACAGGCCAGGTACTGGGGTGGGAAGCACAGGGGTGGGTGGGTGAGGAGAGCAACTCTCAGTGCACAGAGTTCCTGGTTTGCAGCTGTGGAGTCTGACTCCAGGGCACAGGGAGGAAGGAGCTGTTCACAGCCAGCAGTGGGTGCCTGGCATTTCCAAAGGGTGTGTCTGTGCCAGGGAGGGGACAGAGTTAGAGAGGACACAAACCCACCGCTGTCACCACAAGCACCTTCCTTCAGTTAACACAAAGGTTTCTATAGAGACCCTCAATGTTTTATTTTCTAATCTGCTTTTCTAGCCCCAACAGAGGAATCTTGCAGTGGTCCCATCCACATCCCTGCCTTCCCTGATGCTGACCCACCCTCTCCAGCTGGGGTTCTGCCTTGCCTGCTGCAAGCCACTGGCCCTGGCAGCTGCCTGTGCCCAACCTGCACGGTGCTGGGCTGCTGTTCAGCCCCACAGGCACCCTCCTGCAGGAAAGCAGCCTCCTGGGAGGCACAGGGGCAGACCTAGCTCCTGCAACACCCAGAGGCTGTGCTGGCACTGCCAGAGCCCACCCGCTGCCCACGCTGTGTGCACACAAACTCTGCTGTGCCAGGCTCTGGCAGACTCATGCCACAAACATCAATTAGCTCTGTGAAGTTAAATAAACAAACAGAAAGGAGATTAAAACTGATTAACTGAAGGGCAGGAAACATGAGAAGCTGGTTTGCTAGAAAGAAAAGCTCTTGTGCTGAGATATCCAGTAATTAGCAGCAACAAGACCTACAGAAATTTATGAGGTAAAAAAAAAATCCATGAACCCTTCCTGTTTAAATGTTCTCCTTGCACATGTTTTGCTTGGAAGGCTAACTTAAAACACAAACACAGACTGGGTCTCAAATATGGAATAGAGAGTCATGTTCTGCAGCAGTCATATACTTGGATTGCAAAGCAAATGAATGTGCATCGATGCAAGTCCTTTTTTTCTCCTGCAAATTATGTATTTTATTAACAACTATCACACTTACGGCTCTATCCCTCCCTCCAAGCACCTGGAAGGCAATTTGGTTACTGCTGGCAAATGCTGGAAGTGCTCCTTGGAGCACTGGAAAGCGCCTGGAGAGCCAAAGGCCTTTGTCAGGAGTGACCAGTGAGATTCAACAATAATTCAGCAATTCCAGCTCAGCAATGGCCTGTGTGAGCTGTTTGCAGTGTGCAGTGGAGCTGCTGTTGATTATGCAGGAGCCTACCTGCTTTCATGAGGCTCAGCAGTGTCCTCCCCCTGCTCCTGGAGCAGCACAGTCAGGTAATGAAACCCCCAGGCAGGGCTGGAACCTTGACCTGGATTTCAACGGCACTCCAAGCTGCATTTATGCATCTTCAGCATGGCTGTGTTTACTCCCTTAAATAGCAGATTTAAAATTAAAGAGAGCCCTGCAGATCCATGTCTGCTTTGCTGTCCTGGCTTTGCCTTGCTCTGTTGGATAACTCAGAAGACAACTTGAATCAAGACTGAGACTTGCTCCAATTGGTTGCAAACCTCAGCATACACTCAGAAAAGCAGCATGAGCAGGGCACAGTAATTTCCATGGGAAGGGAGGTGGCAGGTCTGATCCTGGCTGAGAGCATGGAGCTCATTAGCATGCAGTTATTATCCTGCATTCTGGTGTGTCCCCAGTGCAATTACAGCTCCAGGATGCAGCTCTCTGCACATGGCTGAGGATGGTGATTACACTCCAATACAAAGGGGAAGGAAAGAACTAAAATACTACTCTAGTTCCCTGACAGCAAATGGCAAAAAACTCAAGGTAAAGCTGTGTATCAATGTGAAGTAACATAAAGAAGCAGAGCTCTGTGGCCTGGTAGCTCTGGAGAGCCCATCAGCGACATTGCTGGGGTGTCCTGCCCCCTTTCCAGGGCAGGCTAGCCCTTGGGTGTTTGGAGCTGGCTTCCAGAAATCACCAGCATCGGTCAAACACTTCCCAGTCAGGATGAGGCCACTGCAGAGGATTCTGAAAAACCTTCAAACACAGGGCAGCCCTTCTTCCCCTTCCAAAAACAACCAACCACACATGTGGGGAAGGACCCACAGCCTGACCACGTTCCATTACAGCATGTGGTGGTTATTGCTGCTGGGGAGGTTTTACCACCCAGTAATATCTTGTGGGAAATGAGCAGAGCAGGGGGCTCCTACATTTCCTTTGCTAATTTGCCACTTTTGCAAGTGTGGAGCCCTTTTACCAGGTTACAGCCACAGCCACAAGAAGAGCTGTTTGACTCCTTGAGCAGTGCTTAAAAACCTGCCTGTGGACAAGCTGGAGGTCCCTGGGAGCTGGGGCTGCTCCAGGGCTGAGTGAATGTGGGTATCAATGTTCTTTGGAGCCTGCTGAAGCCTTGTTCACATTAAAAAGCAAATGAGTGGGTGTATATTAAATATACACAATTAAAGTGGTGTATATTTATATTTCTGTCTAAAAAGAGCTCTCCCACAATCCCACTCCATTTATTTCAGCAGAGAGCTGAACTGCCATTAATTTACAGCCACCAGAAGAGAGAAAAAATTAGAACATTTGACTTCTTTAAATAAATATTTTCTATTTTGGTGCCCAACACTGTGCACTTCCTCCACAACCCAGGCAAAAGGTAGCAGAGAAGGTTGACAATGCTTGCAACAGTAAAACACATTTTGAGAAATCCCTGTCAATGGAGCTTCCCAGCATCCACCCTCATGGTGACACCAGTGGGAGGCTCAGGTCCCACAGGTGTACATGAGAACTGGGCAAGAGC